GGGGACACGATGGGGAAGGAATATGGTGGCAGTACCAGAGTAGCATTCTGTCTGCACAGAAAATGGGCATCATCTTGGTTTGTTGCTATTAAACCAGCGAAGTGGGAATAGCCATAAATTAGTTGTACTTCCCACTAACTCCTGATTGGTTTTAAGGGTTTTGGAACTGGTAATATCCAAAAATTATAGTTATTTCATTAAGTTCTGCTGTATGTCCTTGTAGTATTGTATCCCATGCTGAACAGTTGGAAAGGTTACTGACTCAGGTGAAAGGTGTAATATTACAGCTATTACTCAGTATTAAGCCATCATAGCCCTCTAGTGTAAAGCACTAAACCTACCTTTTATTATTTCTTTTTAACTACTATACAGAGAACTCCACTGCCTGGGCCAAGACAATTCTGATTTCTCTTTATTCACTTTCCTAATAGCTTAATACGGACCTTCTATTGTACCCCATATTGCATATACTTACTTGAACAACCTCTAGGGACTCATTTTCTGGGTTGAATTTTAATGTGGTCCATGGGAAATTGGAAACACCTCTATTCACAGTCAAAGATGCTGTATAACTAACTCCCTCTGCACTGCACCACTATGAAATTACCTTTCTGTGTCTGCATATATCTGCACATATAAGTTGAATTTAACCTTAGAAGCTCTTGGACCATTTTTCTATAGACTTATAGGAGTTACCTGAATACAATATATATTTAGGTGTCTAACATATGAAAATGTTTAGCCTTAAAGTATCTTTGTCTGTTTCCTCATCTCTAAAGACTGGACAATGATAGTTGCCTATTTCATGGGGTTGTGGGGAAGCTTCATTCACTGTTTGTTGAACACTTTTCTGGTCATCTGTTAGAAGTACAAAATGATGTGGTGATGGTAGTTCCTGTTGCTTGTTGAAATATTGTCCTTACCATCCTCTTTACATTTCTCTATCCTTAGTTTTCATTTCTCTTCAGTAAATAATGAGATGGATGCATTACACACTATGCACATCACTTTTGTTCTTCGGACATCAGCTGTTCTTCGAGTAGATGTAGCCATACATTCCACTTAAGTATATGTGTGCCTAGCACACCGGAGCTGGAGAAGTTTGCCTAGCAGTACCTGCAGAGGGGCAGAGCTCGCACCTTGTGACTGTAGCCCCTCCCCAGCTACGTGAAGCAGTACTGGCCCCACCCTCCCTCCCCTCTTACCACTCAGGGCTGGAGTCAGAGCTCTGTGGTCTCAACTTCACAACCTATCAACTAGTTTAGATTTTTTCTCTTGTTGTATATAATTAATAGTGCCCTTTGTGTTAGGGTAGGGTTAGTTGTAGTAGCTTGTTTCCCTCGGTGATGTCCTCATTGGAGTTTAAATATTGCTGTTTGTGTGGGAGAGTGATTCCCAACAGAGATCCTCACACATAGTGCTTACTCTGTCTCAGTAAGGCCCATGTCAGTGAGTGTTGCACGATCTGCAGATGGCTTAAGAAACAGACTCAAGTGACTTGAGACTGTTGCCTGAAACAGCTCCTGATCAAACAGGCTATGTCGCCTGCTTCAGTACCGAGGCCCTCATCGGGTCAGAGATCATCCTCAGGCTCCAAGAGCACTGCCACTTCACTCTCCGGAGCAGGCACATCTCCAAAGAAACAGGAGCTATTTCCTGTCAACTGCGCCAAGGAAAAGGTCTCATAAGACCAATCGAGACTGCTCCAGGTATTGGGGTGACTCTATTCCTGAGGGAGGTGGAAGTATGAACTGACATGGAGCTGATGCACGTGCGTGGGATGGCGCAGCTACTTCTAACCCTTCCCTGGTATCTAGTAGGAAGGTTGGAAAACGTATACTGTTGACTACGGTTCCAGCCTCTGGGCATATGTTGAGTGATGATGAGAAAGATGCTGGTACCATCTGTTTCCATGTGGCAGCATACCAGGCAGCTACCTACCTCTTCTGCCTTTTGGTCCCGACCTCTCCTTTGGTCCAGGACTTTGCCTGTGCTGTGTCAACTATAGCCCCTTTGATTGAATGAGCTGCTGAACCCTTAGTTCTGTCATGTCAGCATCGCACCTCAATGTTGGGGTAGAAGATGGCAGCCTTCATGGGGTTGTTAAATGAGATTTCAGAATGAATGCCATCAACTCGGCGACTGAACATCGCTCAGCGATCTCCCAATCATCAGAGCAGCAACTCAACAACCCCAATGTTCCCCTTCCACAGGTTGTAGAAGTACGGCTTGCACCAGGATTGGGGCTCAGTACAAGGAATCTGCTCAGCACTACTGCAGTCAGCACGCAGATGCTTCCATGGAAACATTAACCGCTCTCAACCTCGGTGCAGTCAGACACTTGGGTACCACTGTTCACTTCTGCTTCTGGCACCATCATGTTTGGTCCTAATGGTATTACTTCCATTGGTAGCGCCACTTTCTGCCTCATTATGGGTCATGGATGAGTCTGACCACCTACTTGCTCCTTCTGGTCTTGCTCCACTGTTATCTCTGTGATCCTGAGGTTCCTCTCTAAGGTTGTCATCCTCCCACTTGCCATCACCTGACCAGCACTGAGGGCTGCTGATGGAATGTTACGGGTACCAGGATTGGCACATGTCTCATGGTCAGGATGGAGGTCCCTGGCCCAGTATCTAATGGCTACCAAAACCTTATCTATGTCAGTGGCCTCCATGGAATCTGTGGGATGCTCCTCGATCGTGGAGATCCTGCTCTTTGTCTCACTCATAGGCAAGATCACTGGCCAGGTCTGCAGTGATGACTGTTGATCCACCACAGATCCAGGCACTGGTGGTCCTTCTTCCTATGGAGCCTCCAGAGTTGTCCTGTCCAGGTCTGTCAGCCCTGGAACAGGATATGGCTTTGGCTCAGTTAAGGGCCTTGTCTTCATTTTTGGACAATGCTGTGCTGCCTGGCTCATCCTCCCCTTCAGTACTGGAGGATTCTAAGGCATACAAAGACCTTTTGCAGCAGGTAGCTGCTTCCCTTGGTGTCTAAGCAGAGTTCTTGCAAGAGAGCATCCACAAATTGGTGGACAATCTCAGTAACATTTCCATATTGGACATTTTCAAGGCTGCTACTTGGTCATCAGTACATATATTCATGAACCATTACACCATAACCACATCTTCCAGGGCAGATGCAGGCTTTGGTAGAGCAGTCCTGTAGTCTCTGTTTACATAGACTGTAAGCTTCACCTCCTGGGCCGAGGGATATTGCTTGAGAGTCACATAAATGGAATACATGGCTGCATCCACTCAAAGAAGAAGAAACGGTTACTTACTGTAACTGGTTCTTTGAGATGTGATGCAGATGTGTATTCCGTGACCACCCCTCCATCCCCTCTGCATCAGAGTCTCATGTCCAGGCATTCAGTGCTAAGGAACTGAGGGAAGATTAGGGCGGCACCGCCTCATCAGCCAGTTGAGGGGCTGTGGCCATGAGGCATGAGTGTTGCCCTTCCACAGGTATTGCTAAGGAAATGTCTCCAACTCCGGTGCACTGGGCACACACACACTTAAGTGGAATACATGTCTGCATAACATCTCAAAGAGCCACAGTTACAATCAGTAACCATTTCTTGCACTTGTGCATGGATGCAGACCAGTGGATTATATGGGATGCATATCAATGCTTGGTGCATATTAGGGGAACGAGCCCTTAATGTTTTTTTTAAACAGATGAGTGAAAACATACCATCCAGCTGAGAAGTGACAGCAGCATCTCTGGGTAAGATCATAAAAATTAAACAAAGAATGAAAACATGGGACCAGTTTGCTTGTAACTTTAAAGATAGCACTTTCTAAAAAAATCTACTGACAGATAATTTCAATGAGGATCATTAGTGAAAAATCACATTTCAGTACCAATTAACAAAAGAGATTTTTCTCACCAGTTTCATAATACTTAGTGTTTCCCATTCTTCTGTAGTTATATATTACTTTTATTTTTATACACACTATAATATTTTAATTTGGTGATTATTGTTTATCTTGCTTATAACCAGCCAGGGATTACATAAAAGGTATAATGGTATCTAATGTTGTACATTAATATGTACCATAAAATCACATATTAACAAATACATTTCTTTGTGACAAATAGCAACTTAGATTACTAACACTAAAATGGATTTGCGTTTCACTATTATTGTTAAGTATCAGAGGGGTAGCCGTGTTAGTCTGAATCTGTAAAAAGTCACAGAGGGTCCTGTGGCACCTTTAAGACTAACAGAAGTATTGGGAGCATAAGCTTTCATGGGTAAGAACCTCACTTCTTGCATTTGAAGAAGTGAGGT